AGGACGAGGAGGACGAGGAGGAGGAGGAGGAGGAGAAGGATGGTGATAATGACGATGATGGCGATGACGGTGATGATGATGATGATGATGATGATGATGATGATGATGATGATGATGATGATGATGATGATGATGATGATGCTGATGCTGATGATGATGATGCTGATGCTGATGATGCGTGATAGTTATGATGACGATGATGATGATGATGATGATGATGATGATGATGATGACGATGATGATGATGATGATGATGATGATGATGATGATGATGATGATGATGATGATGATGATGATGATGATGATGAGGACGAGGAGGAGGCGGAGGAGGAGGAGGAGACCGGGGAGGGGGAGGAAGAGGAGGAGGAGGAGGAGGAGGAGGAGGAGGAGGAGGAGGAGGAGGAGGAGGAGGAGAGGAAGAGGGAGAGGGAGGAGGAGGAGGAACACGAGGAGGAGGAGGAGGAGGAGGAGGAGGAGGAGGAGGAGGAGGAGGAGGAGGAGGAGGAGGAGGAGGGAGAGGGGGGAGGAGGAGGAAGAGGAGGGGGAGGGGGAGGAAGAGGAGGCGGAGGAGGAGGCGGAGGAGGAGGAGAAAGAGGAGGCAGAAGAGGAGGAGGATGGTGACAATGAAGATGGTGATGAGGAGGAGGATGGTGATGATGACGATGATGATGCTGATGATTATGTCGACGATGATACTGACAATGATGATCCAGATGATGATGATGCTGATGACGAGAAGGCGGAGGAGAAGGACGAGGAGGAGGAGAAGGGGTAGGAGGGGGAAGCAAAAGGTGAGGAGGAGAAGGAGGAGGAAGGGGCAGAGGAGGAGGAGGAGGAGGAGGAGGAGGGTGACAATGACGATAGTGAGGAGGACGAGGATGGTGCTGATGACGGTGATGACGATGACGATGCCGGTGTTGATAATGATGATGGCGATGACGACGATGATGGAGGTAAGCTAGCCTCAAAAGGGAAAGGATGCGGGCAAGCGGGCACGACGCGAAGCACCTTTGGGCGGCGAAGCGGGTGGGCGGCAGCAGCCTCACGATTTTCCTGCGGGGCAGGGCGGTTCGCGACAGCCACGGCAGCAGCAGCAAACGGGGAGACACGCTGGCCACGTGACAAAGGGTGACAGAACTGCACGATGGACACATACTCTTCCCAAAAGGGAGGGGACCAGTGACCCGCGACCCACCAGTGGTGGGTGTGAGCCGTGCTCTCCTCCTCAGACAGTGTCTTGTAGGCGGGCGCGGAAAGGTCCTGATTCGCCGAGCAGCGTGAAAAAAAACGCCGAGCGAGTTGCACAGGCAGTGGCAATAACTTGGGCTGCACGTGGGACAGGGGGCGGACTCCGTGCGGCCATCGCGATAAGGTCTACTTTGCGAAAAGAGTCCGGCGGCATGCTGAGCAATCCGTGTATAATGTAAAGTTCTCGGCGGGCAATCTTCGGGTCCAGCGAAAAAATGGGCGACGTAACTGAGCGTGGACAGGACAGACGTGCTATGGAGGCGCACTGTGGCGTCGCTGCCACTCCTGACTAAATTGAGAAGGTTGCCGCGCTGCCACCACTTTTGCCCAGGGGCGAAACATTGCGAAGCAAGAAAGGCCGAGGGTCCAAGGAGGGTCTCGAGGTATTTGGCTAGCCCAAATACCGAAACGCCGACACAGGCGGGACAAATATCGGCCAGGAGCGCTTTCGTTAAGGCTGTGGTGGCAGGTGTGGGAGGTGCCCAGGGTGAGACAACAACGCATGTGCAGGGCTTGAGAGAGAGGGGCGCGAGCTCCTCGGCAGCGGCGAGTGGCTCAGAGGCACGGCGCAGCGTGCTGAACGAGAACGAGCAGGCCCACGTCGTCGGCGCAGCATCCCAAATAGCCCTCGTCGTACCCGGGTGTGCCGTCAGCGTGCTCGGCGAAGGAGGCGATGTGGCGGACGAGCGGGTCCATCGCGATAGCCCATGCCGACCCACTGGCAGGGCATCCTTGAGCCACGCCAGACTCAATCGCGATCGTGGAGTGTCGAGAGCCGTCGGCCTTGACGAAGCTGTCCGGCGCGAAGTACAGGTTGCGGCAGAGGCTGAGAAGGCCAGCGAGGACCTCGAAGCGCTCCAGCGCGGCGAAGAGCAAGATCCGTCCGAGCGACGGGAACGCCGCAGCGAATTCGAAGCGCGTGAAGACGGGCTTGTGCATCTCGGCGTCGGGTCGGATCCCAGGGCGGCACATCTCGGCATCAAGGCGCACGATGTGATTGGTGAAGTTGCGGCCTACGACGAACCCTTGCTGCGCCTTGTGAGTCCGCTCTGCCACAGCGGCTTCGAGGAGGAAGTTGGCAGCCCCAGCGATGGTTTTGATGTCTGTGCTCTTCAGGGAAAGCGGGTGCGTGTCCTCAGGAGCACGGTCCGTCGAGAGCTCGCCCGTGAGGTGGTCGCCCTTCGGGAGGAACGCGAAGTCGGAGTCATTGAGGTCGCGGATGAAGTCTTTGTTGGCGCAGAGGTGGAAAGAGAGATTCTCCAGGAAGTCCAGGGACGCGCCAAGTGCAAGCCGGGCACGGTATGGCAAGCAATCGGGGCCCGGAGCTGATGGCGAAGTGCGTGACAAGAAGGCGCGGATCTGGTTCTTCCTCGGCGCGCCGATGTCGATGATGGGGCCCTGCGGCCTGTGTTCAGAGATGTCCTGCTTGACCTTCGCCACGTCGACACCCTTCTGCGTGAAGAAGGGCTGCCAGTGCTAGCGGAGGGCGGTCACTATTGAGCAGCTCTCTCTGGCAACCCCGTGAGGGCCCGGCGGGCCAGTGATGTTGATTCCACGTAGGACCAGACGGCGCTTCCAGGGGGCCCACAAGAGGGCCCTGCGTTGCGAGGAAGGAAGAAACCGACGGAGTTTCTCGGGCGCGATGGCCCCTGGCGTCCCCTGCGGGAGCTGGGCGGCTCGCTGTGCCAGAGATCGTTGCCTTTCCTCGAAGTCGCGGTGCAGCGCGGCGGACTTGAGAGCAAACTCGGACGCCTTCGTGGGCGTGATGAGGCCGTCGGTGAGCGTGAGGTACTTGGCGCCGAGTTCGGTGGTGGAGTGAAGGCGGCGAGCGAGCACAGGGTCCTGACGCCAAAAAGCCCTCGAGATCGAGCGCGCTGAGATCACCTGGCCGTCAGCAAAGTTGGACTTCCAGGCTTCTCCAGCTGAGCGGCTGACCCAGTCGTCGCGAACGAACTTGGCAGCTTCCACCACGAGAGGAGGAGGAGGTGGAGGTTGACGAGGAGGAGGAGGGGGAGGTGGAGGGGGAGGAGGAGGGGGAGGAGGAGGAGGAGGAGGAGGAGGAGGAGGAGGAGGAGGGGGAAGAGGAGGAGGAGGAGGAGGAGGAGGAGGAGGGAGGAGAGGAGGAGAAGAGGAGGAGGAAGGGAGGAGGAGGGAGGACGGAGGATGGAGGGAGAGGGGAAGGAACAAGAGGGGAAAAGGAGCGAGGGGAAGAATGAGCGATCCCCAAACGGCCTCCTGCGACAGCATTGGAGCTCCCCTCTGGCAGGGCCTCTTGTCTGTCCGTCGAGCGTCACCCTCGACCTCAGATCCACGGCCGTCTGCCCACGTGCGGGGGAAAAGTTGGAGGGGGGGGGGGGGGGGGCAAGTCACAGGGGGGACACCATTGAGCTGGAATTGGCGATCCTTCCTTGAAGTATCGGCGATGGGTTTTTGGTACCGCAGCCGCACGGTCCTGGGCGGGGTGGGCCATCAGGCTCCCTATCGGCGATGAATGAGCGATTGGGGGTCGGTGCATCCCCCCTCTGAGCCTCGATCCCCCCTCCTGACGTAGACCCTGCGCACGGAAGGGAGCGAGGCGAGGGACGTCGTCACCGAAGGGGCCAGTATGCTGGCGGCCAGTCGGTCAGGCCACCCGAGAGCGGCGCCCCCCGGTCGCACGGTCGCGGCGTCGCCTGCGCCGTCGCCGGGGGCGGCCATGCGCTGCGGCCATGCTATCGAAGAAAGCGCCCGGTAGCGGGGCCATACACCCAACGCGTTCAAAAGAACAAGGCGGAGGGACTTCTGGAAGCCCATTCGAGGCATCGGATCTCTGTGGGGCCGAATCTCGCCGCGGGCAGCCACTTTTCGTACCCCGCCTTTCCCAATCCCCCTTCTGACTACCTACCAGACCACCCCAACCCAACCCGAAGACCCGAATTTGACCCGAATTTCGGGTTGGGGGGGGTTCGGGTTCCATATGTGTTTTTTCAACGTTCCCCGACCCCCCCCCCACTGGAAATGGAGGGCGAATTGAGGCCTTCGGGTTGGGTTGGGGTGGTTTGGTGGGTGGTGACCTTCCCCTTCGCTGAGACCCTGGCGCGTAAAACGTTTCACGCCGGGCGACGTCGCCCCACGTCGGGCCCTGGGGCCTTCGGGTCGATCCGGCTCGAGGCGTGCCGCAGCCTGATTAGTTCTCTGGGGCTCTGGTCGGGATTTCTCAGCGTGGTCCTGCCCCAAAAAAGTCGGCGCCACCCCTTGAGCAAGGACCAACCGTCATGGGCCTACCACGAAATATATTGAGAACCCAGAAATGTTTTGATCACGAAAACGATGTTCTTAGAACATGAATCCGACGTGTTCAAACAAGACAGCCTCAGCCAGAAATGTTCCAGGAACATCTCGTGCAGACCACACAAGGTTATTGGAACATTCTTCGATCGGCATATGGACAAGTCTGGACGCTTCGCCACCACTTGAGCCCTATGGTTAAGACGGTCTCCTCCTCCTCCTCCTCCTCCTCCTCATCATCATCCTCCTCCTATTCCTCCACCGCCTTCTCCTCCCCCCTTCCTCGCATCATCATCCTCCTTCCTCCTCATCCTCCTTCTTCTCCTCCTTCTCCTCCTCCTCTCCTCCTCCTTTCCCTCACATCATCCTCCGTCCTCCTCCTCCTCCTCCTCCTCCTCCTCCTCCTCCTCCTCCTCGTTTCCCTCGCACCCACCTACCTCATCCCCTGCCATGGACCGCCCGAAAGGGGCTGCGGCGAACCGATCCCCAGTGGCGGCGCCGCCAGCATCGCCGCCGGGGGCGGCCATTGGCGCGGCCAGCGGGGCCGCTCGGGACGGGAAGGCGACGCCGGCCGAGAAACGCCGCCGCGGCCGTCGACGTTGTCATCGGTGTCGTAAGAGTCGACCACGTCGTCGTCGTCGTCGTCGTCGTCGTCGTCGTCGTCGTCGTCGTCGTCGTCGTCGTCGTCCGTGTCGTCGTCGTCGTCGTCGTCGTCGCCGTCGTCGTCGCCGTCGTCGTCGTCGTCGTCGTCGACCGACAGCCTTCGTGGGGTCATCTCCCGCCATACACCCTTCCTCCTCCTCCTTATCGTCGTCCTCCCCCTCCAATCCTCAGAACCTCTTGCCGCCCTCCTCCTTTTTGTTCCGTCTCGGGAGAAGGGAAGCGGAAGTGAAAGGTCCGGACCCGAAATCAGAGCTCATCGAGGCTCGGGGCCTGCGGCGGCGCCTGGAAAGGGCGAGGCGAGTGCGAGGGGACAGCTGCGGCGGCGAGCCGCTGCGTGAGGCGGCACCGCGCTGCAGAAAAAACCTCGGTTTGAGAAGCGGAGGGGCTCCTGGATCAGGGAAAGGCTCGGCCCCGCGGAACCTGACCGGGCCGATCTCGGCCAGGCTGAGGTCGGCCAGCGTTCGGCCCGGGCCGAGTTCAGCCTTTCCGAGCCAAGCCTGGCCGAGCTCGGCCGGCCGAGATCCGCCTGGCCGAACTCTCCTTGGCTGGGCTTCGCTGCTGGCCGCGGCGGAGCCTCGAGCCAGAATTGGAAGCGGAAAATTCACACCATTAGATCGAAGGAGCGATATGCGAAAGGAAACAAGCTATTAGTGAAGTGCTGTTGCTCTGTTGCGCGACAAATGCGGCGGCGCGTCCGAATTGCCGAACCACGTCCTGCGCTCGCGCCCTGAATCTCCTGTCAAGGAGCATCTACACATCGCGGGGTAAACTGGCAGGAAAGACAAGGGCCCCCCCGCCTCCCGACCGGGCCCTGGCCCCGCATCACCACCGCATCCCAAGGGCTTTATTACTAAGGCAGACCGCGGACTTTACGAACGCGAGGAAGCGGCTTTACTAAAGCGAGGGGGCGGCAATGTACTAAAGCGAAGAAACGGCTTTACTAAAGCGGAGAAGCGGCTTCGGTAAAGGCGTGCCGCTCAATACCTTCAGAGAAAATACGCTTTGCTGCAACGAAAAGAAATCTTTAGTAAAGCGGATGGACGGCTGGGGTAAAACCCATAAAACCTGGCGCGGGACTCCAAGCACGAGGGCGGGGCGCAAGTCGCCACCGTCGCCGCGATTTTCGTCGTCGCCGCCGTCGCCATCGCCGCCGTCGTCGCCACCGTCGGCGCAGGCGCAGCCGTCGTCGTCGCCGTCTCCGTCGTCGTCGCCGCGACGCCCGCGCAATCACGTTATTACCAGCGGCGGGTCGTGCGCGACCGCGCGCGCCACTGCGCTCGCATTTCCGCTCGTGACATTATGTGTTTTTTCTTCCGCCCGCATCTCGCTTGAAGTAATAGTGGGAAGAATGCGCCTCTGACAGACGCACGCTCGCCGCCGCGCCCGTCCCCCCGAGGCAGCAAGAGCCCCCGGCCTCCAGAAGGGTTCGGGGCGGGTGGAGCTCCCGCGGGCGGGCGCCTCCCGAGGGGGGGGGGGGGGCAGGCCTCGCGCGCTCGAGTTTGCGCGAGGCCGCTGCGAGGGGCTGGCGGGCGGGGGTCTCGAGGGCGGGTGCCTCGAAGGGCGCCGAGGCGCAGCCCGCACCGTACTTGGGGAAGGGCGCCTCCGAGGGAGCAAAGGCCCAGTCTCGAGCGCTCGAGCGCTTGCTGAGGCCGCTTTGGGGGGCGGGGCGGGGCCCGAGGTGGGTGCCTCGAGGCCGAGGGGGCGGGGCCCAGCTGGGCACGAGATGCATTTTTTGGGGGGGGGGCGATGGCCCAGGCCAGCCGGTGGGAGCGAGGCGAAGCCCGAGGAAGCATCGCACTGGGCAGGTCGGAGCGGAACGCGGGCGCCACCCCAGGGGCGAGGCCCGACGCGGTCGCTCGAGCCTTGGGGGCCGCCCCGGGGGGGGGGGTCCGGGGCGAGGCCCGAGGGGCTCAGCCCAGCACCGCATCCGGGGGGTCGCACTGGAGCGGGGCGTGCGTCGGCGCAGGCCTCCTCGGCACGAAGCCGGAGTCGGAGCGGATCGGCCGCGCCAGGGTGCGTATCGGCGCCCATGCAGGCATCGGACCGCATCGGATCGTCAGAACATCGGGAGATCGGATCGGGCCAGCCGAGCTCGATGTCGGATCGGATCGGTCGGATCGAAATGCACCTTGGGGGGCCGAGGTCCTCGGGCGAACTCGGAGACCTGCGCGATGAGAGCGGCGGGGCGAGCCGCCAGTTGGCCGCTGGCGGCAAGGGCTCCGCGGCCCAGCAGTGCCCTTCGCGTGGAAGACGTCAGGGCGAGGACAACTTCAGAGGAGGATAGGTCGGGGATCTCGGAGCGCCGGCGGCTCTTGACATTGCGTTGGGCGCCGCAGCAGCAGAGCCTTCCGGGACGCTCCGAGGGCGTTCGGGAACGCTCTCTGGAGTGAGTCTCCCTCTCCCGGGCCGCCCCGACGGGGCCGCCTTGGGCCGCCGAAAGGTTGGAGCCGGCTCGGGCCAGCCGAACTCGACCATCGGATCGAACCGGCTGGACCATAGTTGCCCCGATACGCAACACGCAACGCGTAGCGTATGGATACGGAGCTCAACACGTGCCCTGAAAACGGAGGTCTGAAGCGATACGTGCGCCAACACGCGGGCCAACACGCAGCGTATTGACACGGATGCTTTGAGCACAGTACGTGTTGCGCATCAAAACGTGCGTATCGAGGCAGCTAAGGGTTGGACCGAAGCGGACCTCAGGAGGCGAGGTTCGAGTAGTGCATCGACTACAGAACTAACTTACCTCAACAAAATTAAGATGCTCGTCGAATCCTCGAAAAGCCTGAAGGATGCACGTCCCTCTGAAGACATTCTACGTATGTTGGACGTGAAAGAAAGTTCAGGATGCATCAATTATGTAGCCAGTCCTCTACTTAAACGTCGTTCTTGGTGCGAGCTCGAGGCGGGGCTCGGAGCGAGAGAGGTGCGGAAACCGAGCCGCGGGCTGGTCGACGAGAAAGCGGAGTTTCGGATTAATTACTTATGTTTTCGATTCCCTACTCGCGAGGTGCTTTGGGTGCGAGCTCGAGGGCGGGGCGTGGGGGGGCAAGAGCAGTGCGGAAATCGTCGAGCCGCTGGCGGGTCGGCGAGACGAGGGTGCCGCAGGTGTAGTGGCGCCCCTGCGCCTCCTCGGCGGCACTCCCGGGAGTGGCCCTCTTGCTTCTTTGTGCTGCCAAACAGTTGGGGCCCGACCACAAGAAACCTCCTACTCCTTCCCCTCCTCCTCATCCTCCCCCTCCTCCTCCTCCTCCTCCTCCTCCTCGCTCCCCTCTCGTCCCCCATAGCTCATCCTCCCTCCTCATCTTCGCTCCTCGCCCTCCTCCTCACTCGACGCCCCTGCAGTAACGAGGGGCCCGACCACAAGGAACCTTCCACAAGAAACCCAACCCTGAGACCCCAGGACGTCTATTGCTTTTTGGTGTTGTTGGAGCGTCACGCTTTCCATTGAGAAGCCATTGATGTTAGGTGGGAGCGTCACGCTCTCAATATAGAAAAAAAACATCCAGACCTAAGAAACCCAAGAAACCCAGGGCACCATGGAGGCAAGCAGGGTGCGTCCCTGGCAGGGGCCTCCACTGCAGAGGAGGCCGACGAAGGAGCGAAGTGGCTCTTCTGGCCACGGCGAGCCTCGGCCACGAAGAGGCCCCCCCTTGACCAAGCTCGTAGGGAGGGCCCGAATACCCAGGTGCCCCTCCTGGACTCAAAGCGCTCCTTCTCTCGGCGTCTCGGGACTTGGCTGTACAGCCGACCCGTATCAGAAGGACGCACGATAAGGATGCAAGGGCCACGGGAGGCCATTTCGAGACTTTTCGAGCGGGGCGCGGCCAACGAAAGCGGCCAAGGATGGACCGAGGAGGCAATGATGCCAAGGGTTTGGAAGGTTGCCCATCCTTACTATGCGGGCTGAACGTAGGCAAGGGTGACCTTTGGTGCGCGGCGTCGGGGGCGCGCGGGGGAACGCCGAAGCCAAGTGCGCAAGCCTCTTCCGTCGCATCGCTCTCAGCGATCGGGACACCGCAGCGGGCCCGCACGAAAGGTCACCTGCAAGTCACTGTACGTGCAGTCGCCCGACCGGCGGCGGGGGGCGGGCAGTGGGGAGAGGGCTTACAGCGCGCTGCCTCGCCAGCGAGAGAAAACGACTGCTGCGAACACGGGCCTGCGCGCGCGTCGGGCCAGCGATGAGGAGGAGGAGGGTGATGGTGGCAGTAACATTGACGATGATGTGGCGATGAGTCTATGGTATTACACTGTACCTCATGTAGGGCTGTTTACAGCGGCTGGGCAAAACGGTAGCCCTTCGAGTACTGGTCTGCACCACTGACGAAGGCTGCTAGCGAGCGCGATCTCCACACAGCATGGATATGATGCTGATGGTGATGACGATGCTGTTTCCTCAACTTTGGCGGCGACGAGCATACGACACGATATGGGTGAAGTATGACGTTGGTGGTAGTGACGCTGATGACAGAAACGTGTCATGGACCCCAGGGCTTCCCCCCGAGACCAGTTGTTCATCCTGCGTACGGGGAAGCTGGTAACACTAAGGGCTGGAAACACAACGGACAGAGTGGTTAGAGTAGAACAAATCGCGCTCGCGCGGGCCCGCGAACATAAAAACAAACGGAGCCCGCGCCTCGAACGCAAAAACATAGAGACCTTATGGTAGCCCCAAAGAGCCCCCAACAGGCCCGACGGCGATCTCCGCGCAGGAAAAATGCGAACCGCAACGAAGGCGGATGGGCTGGCCCAACACATGGAAAACAAAAAAAAGTAGGCGTCAAACCAATCCTGCGGGGCTCCGCTCGGGCCGATGGCCAAAAACACAGAGGGCTGCCCAAAAGCAAAAAAACGCAAGGGCCCG